GCTTCTTCAACAACTGCAAGGTCCGAACAATAGGACTTGCAAGACCAACTTGTAAGAAAGTTGACCTACCCCCTTTCAATCAATAAGTTTGATCAAAAGTTGTATCCTTCAACGTGGTGTGGTACTTGAGGCAAGGAAACCTTCAAGTATTTACACTATAGCTTTTTGGAAGGAGGAGAAGTTTGCTTCTGGATAAGGAGTTTAGAAATCTCTCTTTATCAAGCTTTTTGGGCTAACTGTGAATGAGGTAGCCTTTTTATGGTTGTTCTTCTTATCGTTGATGATTTGTTCTCTACTTCCCAGGTCTTCCAAGGATGATATTTATAGCTGGATTGGATAATCTATCCGTTGAATCAAAATAGACTATCCGTTGCCTTTGCTGGCTTCAATTTTGAATGAAGATTGTGATTTAAAGATTCCTCATTGGAATGGGTGTTTGGACATACCCAATTGTTTAAGGAGGGATTCCTTTTTCCATAGAATCCGTCTTCTAGCTGTTGTTCAAGAATTCTGGACTGTAGCACTTTACTCTGTTTGTCTTCTAGTGCTTGTTTAGGAATTCTGGACAGGTTCTTCAATTTTTAGAGGTCCAGACTTTGTCTTCGAGTCATTTTTTCTTGAATCAGCATAATTATCTTCAATCTAGCCATTGAAAATCAAGAGATTGATTTTTCCTTACCAATGGTAGAATTTCTTCATTCAAGACTTAGATAATTTTCTAAGTCTTTTCTCACTTGTCCGCTTTTTGAGAATTCCGGTCTTCCTTGAGGCATCCGGTTCTTAGTTGACAAATCTGGAAGAGTCATACTCAGTCTTCCAGGTGAGAAAGAAATCCGCGCTAGTCTTCCGACTTAGCCTTCAGTGGGTTGTAACGAGATATCCGGTTTTCATGTAGTCTTCCGGATAGGAGGATTTTCGTCTGCTTTGAGAAATCCTTACTTGTCTCTGACATTTCCGATCAAGATATCCAATTTCCAAATTTCTGAATTTGATTAAGTCTTCAGGCATCAAACCGCTTAAGGAAATATCACAACTTTATTGGAAATCCCAAGAACTTGGTTTTTACAATATTTCTAAAAGGAAAAATTACATTGAATATTTGGGGAGACATAAAGTCCCTATTACATTCTAAATACATCATCATCAAAATCTATAATATTTTTCCCAATAGTACCCATCGATGAGTAGGTAACCGTTGGCTTCAAAACTAAAGGAAAAATTGGCTTACCAGCGATGTGTAAGTTCCAAACATCGATGGGAAGCCAATATCCTCCAGATCCCAAATTTATTCAATCCCATAAATCAAGCCAATCACCCCTTTAATGCATTGGTCCGGTGGAGCCTATTTTGGCACTATAAAAAGGGGTGTTTGGGTCTGCTTTTCTGATCAATTGACTTCATAATATTCATATTTTCATTGCATTCAAACAACACTCTTTTCCATAGCTTTTTAGAGCCATTTTGTGTGAAGGTTGAGTTGTTCTTTAGCGTACTTAGTTTACTCATCATCTACTCTATAAGAGAGTCTCGTTCTTGAGTGTAATTGTGTTGCTAGACACGTTGAGAGAAAGTATTTCTCTCGGTTGATTCAAAGGAAGGGCTGTTTCCTTTAAAGGATTCGTTGAGGTTCGTGTGACTTGAACTCTCAAGTTGTAAGGGTTTGTTAAGCACCGTTAAGCTTAACGAGATAGTAGTGTAGCTCGAGAGAGTCTCTCAGGAGGCTGGATTAGCCACAAGTTGTGGTGAACCAGGGTAAATTTGGTGTGCCTCTTACTCTTCTCTTTACATCTCTTTTAAATTTTTTAATTCCTGCGATTTCTACGATCAAACGCTATTAACCCCCCCTTTAGCGTTGGTCTATTATTTTAACAATTGGTATCAAAGCCTAACTTGCGTCCAAACTTAACCTTTTGAGAGTAAAGCGATCATGGGTTCTTCTTCTAGAAATCTTTATGCAGGAATTGGAGAAGGTCAATCAACCTCTAGGCCACCGCTTTTTGATGGCACCAACTACACATATTGGAAAGAGCGGATGAGAATTTATATCCGCTCAACCAACTTCCAGTTGTGGTTGGTCATCAAAAACGGCGAAGAAACGCCAATGATGAAGGTCGGTGAAAAACTCGTCCCAAAGACCGAGGACGAATTTGATGCCGAAGACATCCAAAAGGTGGAGAACTACGCCAAGGCAATCAACATGTTGTACTACGCGGTCAACCCCGATGATTATCGCAAGATCTCTTGCTGCACCACCGCCAAAGAAATGTGGGACAAGCTGAAGGTCACATATGAAGGTATGGACCAAGTTCGGGAAGCCAAAATTGACTTCCTAACGCAGGAGTACGAAATGTTTAGGATGAAGGAAGGCGAAAAGATCGATGACATGTTTGATCGGTTCTCAAAGATCATCAACGACCTTCATGCTCTCAAAAAGACTTACGCCAACAAGGATCTCGTGAGGAAAATCCTGCGGAGTGTCACACCCGAATGGAGATCAAAGGCTGACGCAATCTATGAATCCATTGGAGTCTCCAACGTCACCATTGACGGGCTAAGAGGTAACCTCAAAACTTATGAATCTACTATTCTAACCCCGTCTTTGGATGAACAAAAGAAGAAAGGAATAACGCTCAAAGCAACCAAGGAGACCGTAGAAGAAGTCTCAAGTGATGATGACAACAAGTTCGGACTCGTCATCAAGAAATTCCACAAATTCATGAAGAAGGAATTTGAACGAAAAGGAAGAAAGCACGTCGGTCCCCCGAAGTGCTATGGTTGTGGCGAGATAGGCCACATCAAGCCGAGGTGTCCAAAAGGCAAAAGCGGCAAGGACAAACCTGGCTTCAAAAAGCAACGTGCCTACATCTCATGGGGTGGCGACTACGGCGACGAGTCAACTGACCAAGAAGAGGAAGAAGCCGCCAACCTCTGTCTCATGGCACACGAAGACCACGCCGACGAAATACAAGAGGTATGTACCACTTCCTCCGACTCTTACACTTTTGAAGAGATGCAAGAAGCTCTTCGAGAGCTTTATGATGAATTTGTTAGCGCTTCTAAAACCTACAAATCATTAAAGAAACGTCTTTCAACTCTTGAAAATGATTTTGAAAAACTAGAAAAAGATAATGAAAAGTTGAAACAAGAAAATAAATTTTACGGCAAAAGAAGTGCTGACAAACCGGAAAGCTCTTCAAGTGAATGTGAAACTTGCAAAGCTTTAAAAGAAAAGGTTGCAAAACTTGAGAGTACGGTTAAGAAGTTTAATACACCACACAAAGATCTTAATTTACTCCTAGACACTATGCATTTTTCTAAAGAAGGATTAGGTTTTGATAAAAATGAATCTAAGGATAAAAACGTTGAGCAAACACCTAGACAACCTCCTAAGGCTCAACGTAAGAAAGTTAAAAATCAGAATAATAGAAAATCTAGTCAACCTAAAGACACTAGACAACCTAGCCAAAAACCTATGAACGAAAATGTGCATATTAGACAACCTAGGAAAAACTATCAAAATGAATTTGTGCATAAAAGTAATTTTTCAAATAGACAAAATAATGCTAAGACACCTAGAAGAGAGAATTTTCAAAATCCAATATTTTCTCAAAATAGGATGAATATGGTTAGGCCCCCTAGCAACTATTATCAACCTAGGAGGATGCACAACCCAAACGTAGTTTGTGACTATTGCAATAGGGTAGGACATATAGCTCCCGTTTCCTTTACTAGGCATAGGCATTGGGCACAAACTGAATCACACTACCACTTTGCACCTAACACTCAAGGACCCAAAAAGACTTGGGTACCTAAATCTTATTAAATCATTTTTTTAGGTGTGCTTGAAGGCGTCAAGTGTACTTTGGTACCTTGATAGCGGATGTTCCAAGCTCATGACTGGAGATGCATCCAAGTTCCTACAAATCAAACCGCTAATGGAGGAAACGTAGTCTTTGGAGATAATAGCAAGGGAAAAATTATCAGCGTCGGTTCAGTAGGTAAGTCCAAAGACTCCTCTATAGATAATGTCTTGCTTGTTAAAGGTCTTAAACACAATCTCTTGAGCATAAGTCAATTATGTGACAAGGGAAACCGTGTGACCTTCGATTCAAAATCATGCATGGTAGAACGCCTTAGTGACAATAAGGTCATTCTACGTGGTGATAGAATCGATAACATATATATGGTTAACTTAGACAAATCTCCTTCCGGCTTTGCTAAGTGCCTCATGAGTAAAGAGGAAGACACTTGGTTATGGCACCGAAGGGTAGCTCATATGAACATGAACCTTTTGAACAAATTGGTTTCACAAGACTTAGTAATCGGCATTCCAAAACTTAAGTTTGAAAAAAACACCATATGTGATGCATGTCAAAAGGGGAAGCAAGTTCGGGCTTCGTTTAAGTCTAAGAACGTTGTTTCAACGTCTAGACCGCTTCAACTTTTGCACATGGATCTCTTTGGTCCTTCTAGAACGAAAAGTTTTGGTGGTAATTACTTTGC